CCTACAGAATAATGCCTACACTGTTACAGACTGCCTATACACCTACAGAGTAACATTTACACATTTACAGAATGCCTGTAAATAATTCCTATCTTTACGCTCTAATGATAGAGGCTGACCAGATGAGCATGAGGATTGGATTTTGCTATAATAGGGAAAGCCCTCCAACTGGTAAGATAATGCATTTATGGCACAAGTAAAATTGGATAAATGGGGGCTGGAGAGATAGCTCAGTGGTTAAGAGCACTGGCTGCTCTTCCAGAGGACCCAGGTTTGATTCTCAGCACCCACACAGTGGTTTATAACCACCTGTAACAGCAGTTTCAGAGAATCCAACACCCTTTTCTGACCTCCACAGGCACTGTATGCACATGGCACACAGACAGACATGCAGACAAAAGACCCATACACAAATAAAAGAAACAAATCTGTTTTTTAAAATTAGATAAATGCAGTAAAGAGGTAAGTATTACTTCCTTACAACTAAATCCTCGAGCTGCTTCGGAAGATCTGAGTAAGTACAGTGCGCACCACTTGAAATGTCTGCACAGTGGTCTGCGCAACGCTAACTACGGGAATCGTGGCAGATGAAAGAACGGACAGTCAATTCTCACGCGCTCTTTGTACCTACTGCCCCTCCGCTCCAACTGCAGCAGCTGGGAAGAACCGGCAGAAACCAGAACGCTGAGACCCAGCTACGTGCTCTGCAGCCTCCCTCGGCAGGCGGGCAAGGAGGGGAAGAGCTCCCCGGTTGCCAAGGACACGGCTGCCTCGATCTCAGGTCTGAGCTCTCACTCAGTCGCCAGAAAGACCCAAGTGCTGCGCCAGCTCAGGCCCAGCCAGCTCAAATTCCCCTCGCACACTCTATGACTCCATTAAGTTACACGTAAACGTCTACATTTTGTAAAATTCCATTCATTCAGTTACTTATTGTGAGCATCAGGTGAATGAGGGTGCCGTCAAGCACATGAGGGAAGCTAAGCTTCAAGAGTCAGTTTCTCTCCTTCCGTTATGTGGGTCCCAGGGACCGAAACTCAAGTTTTCAGCCTGGATGACAAGCGTCTTCCCCACTGTGCCATCTCACCAACCAGGGCACAAACCAACTTTAGAAATGACTGACATGCAGAACTATTTGTCTTACCTGGCCCTTGTAGAGAATGTCTGAAACCGGGCAGACAACGCAGGCCGTCCCCGAGCCAAACATCTCCTTCACTCTGTTCCCCTCCAGGGCAGCGGTCAGGTCATCCATGGTGAGGTATCTCTCACACACCTTAAACTCACCCTGTTTGGAGTATTAAAAATGAAAAAAGAAGAGAAAAAGAAAGTCAGTGCTTGTCTTTGGATCTGGCTGAACTTGATGGTGTCATAATGGTCCTGTGGGAGAAGCAGAAAAGGGCACACTGTGTGATTGCCCTAGCATGTTGAGTAGGAAAGGACACAATGTGTGATCACCTACTATATTGAGCAACCTACTTCCAAATGAATGACAGCTTTCACAAATGAAGTCATCAAGATATTCACCTGGGTTCCTGGCACATTTTCACACATGCCTGTGTCAAGACTTACAGTTGTCATGGATAAGGTCTCACACACTAACTCATTCTAAGTGCTACTTACTACATTTTCCACATCTTTTATGATAAAGGGGAACAACTGACTGCATCATATATCAGTACAAGGGCAGCTGCCATTTACCAGGTACCCACCACATGCCAAGGTCCTTAATGCATCATCCTCCCTACTTGACAGTTGAGGGCACTTGGTTTCCAGAAGGGTGAGGGGGCTTCCTTAAGACCAGTCAGCTAGTAAACAGTGAACCCTAGATTTGAACTAAGCCTTATCTGGTTGCCTTCAAAACTGGTAAAAATCATAAACTTAGTTCATACGGTTGAAGCACTCACTATTTGTTAGGAGCCAATATTTTGACTTTATGAGAAATTAAACCGAGGGGTGTTGTGATTTTGTTCAAAATTAAATAAATTACTAAATAATTTGTGTTCCAGAAAACCAGCAAACATTACTGAAAACAGTTAAGGTCTGTGTTCTGGAGAGAAAAAAAAAAACAAAAACAAATAAACAAAACAAACAGAAAAAACCCATCTTGCAAACCAACAGAATCGTGTCTGCTCAGCTCATCCTCATCTCTGGACTGGTTCCCCTGTCTGGCAAGTTGTGGCGCCTCCGAGTGCCTCTTGGCATTTCGTCTGTTTCAACACAGCTTTAAAATGAATTGCAGTTAAGGAGTCAAGAAAGACCCTCCATAAGAACCTGTTTTCCAAGCTCAGGAACCGGAGGTGCGGTACACTGGGCTCACACCTTGTCATTGGGCCTTCTATCCTTGGTCCATTTGTTCTCTTAGTAAAACAGAAATTACTGAGCTTCAAAAAGCCATCTTTCCAAGGGCAGACATAGTTGGGACAGGGCAAGCTGTCTGAAATTAAACCAACAGTTTGCAAATGTCATGCCCAGTGTGCCAGCCAACTGGCAGCAGTTGGGTCTTGTCTACTCTGGACATGGTAGGATTATTTAGCTAATGTCTTCTACTTTCAGTCTTTTCCAGGGAAACTGCTGATCCACTCTGAGATGGGTGTGTGTCTAAACATCTGTCCACTAGGACTGTCTGGCCACAGTGTGCTCAAAGCCTTTTCATGGTCTCTGGGGAGCTTTAGAGCACATGGGTTACAAGGACCAGCCAAGAAGCCATGCTAGCCAGCCAGCCAACTCACTCCCACATCTACCTTACAAACACTGTCACTTCAATAACAAATGTCTTACTACTCATGCCTCTTTGGCATGGATTTGAAAGCTTACTGAAAACAATTTTATATTTGCTTTCAGTGTTCTTAATTTTAAATTAAGCATGTGTAGAAATCTTCTGGAGGGGCAGTAGCGGGAGAAAGACAGACAAATCAACATTATGCTGATATTAATAGGTCAGTGAAAATCTGTAGCTCCCCTAATGGTCGTGGGCACACTGGAATAAACACAGGACACATCACCAATGCAATGAGGAATAGTTTACAGTTAAAGTTAAGGGCTGGTGGAAACACCCAGTGTAGACCAGGTAAGCTTGTATTAGAAGACACCCTGTAAACAGACTGAGGTTAGTTAGAAGCCCTCCTCACTAAGACAGCCTGTTCAGCTGGTTCTCTGTGTACTCTACTAAAAAGACTACTTACTGGCTGGTTTTGCCAACACAGACCTTCTAGAGAGATCTTTTGCACAAGGTAAGATTTGAAGATTAGATAACATTGGTGGGAACCACAGGATATGATATCATTGCAAAGGGAGGGTCATTTTTCATGATTCTTTGTGTTGGGCTCATGGGAGTTGCTCGGATCAAGGGCACTCACCCACTGTTGTGCCAGCTCTATGATGCTCTGCCTCGTCACACCTGGGAGAATGATGCCATCTAGCGGAGGTGTCGCCAGCTCTTCTTCTGTTAATTAGAAACAGGAATGTTTGCAAAATTTCACTCATTAGACATGTCACAGCAGTAGCCATTTTTAAAACCATTTCTGACAATTTGGCAAATAATAAACATGCAGATAATTAATTCCACTGCCCTGCACCATTAGGTTTCTCAAATCTCTACTCGCTTTTCACAAGATACTTATTTTAATGTAAGAACATGAGAGACTGCTCAGTGGGTAAGAACAGGTATTGCTCTTGTAAGGACCAGAGTTCTGTTCCTAGTACCCACCTAAGAGGCTTACAACTGCCCGCAACTCGGCTCCAAGGGATCTAGTCCTCCCTTCGGAATCCATGGGCACTGCACTGGTGTGCACATTTCTCCACACAGATGCACACACACACATAATTAAGAATAAAACAAATTTTCTTAAATAAGCAAAAACAAAAAGGGACCAGCAAGATGGCTCAGTGGATAAAGGCATTGGGTCCCAAGTCTGTCCCCCTGAGTTCAACCCTCTGGAACCCCATGGTAGAAGGAGAAAACTGATTCCCACAAGTGGTCCTCTGACCACCACACATGTGCCATGGCCTGTACACACACACACACACACAC